TATGTAGGACAAGGCCAAGATGGTATTGGAGCTGTCAAGTTTGAGTACGTAACTGGTTCCAACGTAACCACTTTGGAACATGGAAAGCCAACATTGCTTGGATATGAGGAGGTACGTTTAAAACAGATTTTGTCATTGTTTATGCAATCTATGTGGAACTTGTTTCAATATATTTCGTTATGCTTTCCTCTTGTGCAGTTTGCGCTTGAATCAGGTGAATACATCACATCCGTGGAAGGAACCTACGACAAAATCTTTGGGACTGACAGTGATGTAATAACGATGCTCATTTTCAAGACTAGCAAGAACAGAACATCTGACCCGTTTGGGCTTGAAGGAAGCACAAGGTTTGTATTGAAGGAGGAAGGTTACAAGATTACCGGGTTCCATGGACGTGCTTCTGATTCTACTGCAGATTCTGGTGCTGATATTCATGCTATTGGAGTTTATATAGCTCCACTAGGCACCATCCCCTTGGATCCTGCTCAACCATCCAAGAAGCTTGATGCACTTGGTGGTGATGGAGGAACTTCATGGAATGATGGTGTTTTCGATGGTGTAAGAAAAGTGTCCGTAGGACAAGCCCAAGATGGTGTTGGAGCGGTCAAGTTTGTGTATGGCAAAGGAGCTGAGGTTGTAGTAGGAGATGAGCATGGAGCAAGTACATTGCTTGGATTCGAAGAGGTACACTAACTTAGTTCTTGCTTTGTCTTTTAAATTTTTTATTAAAGCCATATGAGTTTCTTTCTTCTTAATTATAATTATTTTTAATTTGTTGCAGTTTGAGCTTGACTATCCAAGTGAATACATCACGGCTGTTGATGGAACCTATGATAAAATCTTTGGGAGTGAAACCACAATCATAACCATGCTTAGGTTCAAGACTAATAAGCAAACGTATGGTCCCTTTGGGCTTGAAGCTGGCACAGCCTTCGTAGTCAAAGAGGAAGGTTACAAGATCGTTGGGTTCCATGGAACCGCCGGTAATCTGCTTCATAAAGTTGGAGCCCACGTCCTGCCAATCAACTGATCATGGATATCTTCAATTTGTTACACTTTGTGGTCTGTGAACTATGAATAAGCTGATACTTGTGTTTCAAGTCTTCTCTTTGATAAAACATGGTCCGTTTTAAGTTTGTCATTTGTGATGTCTTTGATTCCATATTTTTCACCTGTTGGCTCCTGAATAAGCTGTTTAATGTACCTCTTTACTGGTTCTGTATGTTTATGTTTTAAGGTTCAAGTGTTTATAATTATCGTCTCCTTTTGTGTATGTTTGTTCTGTCTATCATGTTATATGTGATCGTTTAATAAAGGTAGTTGATTCATCCATATTAATTGCACACTAGGTGCCATCGTGCTCAACGCAAAACGCATCTTAGAATTAAGTCATTGCAAGTTTGCGTTGACTACTGCATGTTCATAATAGATCTTTCTTACCGACTAAATTAGTTTTCGAATAAACTACGTGCTTTATTGGGTGAGTTTAATTATAATATGTATTAGGTGAGTTTAATCTTATTTTTAATAAATTTTGTTGGACTTTTCAAATCCATTGTTGTTGGTGTACTTGTTGTGTAACATCCGTAAACCAAAAAGGTGCAGTTTTGGTCGAGTGTCGACCGACACCACAGGTTTGTGTCGGTCGACACCAGCTCTGGTTTGCAATTTCGGTTCAATTTGAGTTGGTTTAGACCGGTTAAAGGCTTGGAAACCCTTGTTCACGAAATAAAATCGTGACCGCCGTCCTCTTCCTGAGTTTTGTCGTTTAGTGGGCGACTGTGAGAGGAGAAGAGTTTTCTGAGGTGATTCCAGTGTTTGGTGTTAAATCCGAGTCTGTTCATCAGCGATTCAGAGTTCTGGGTGTGTGTGGTGGTGCTGCGTGGTGTTCTTCGTCGTTCCTTGCTTCAGTTCATCTTCTTCAATCCGTTTTCCCCTCTTTTCAACCTAGAATCGAGGTGAGTGCATGACTGTGGGTCCGTGATTGCTAGATTCAGGATTGTATGTGTTTATGTGGTGATTTGTGATGATATTGATGTTTGATTCAGTGTTTATGGATGTTTGATGATTTCCTGTGAATTTCGAGTTTCAGGTACTGTTCATAGTCCGATCTGGGTTTTTCCAGAATCGGTGTCGGTCGACACTCTGGTGTTGGTCGACACCAGAAGGCTTGTGTCGGTCGACATCAAGGTGTCGGTCGACACAGACCGGTTAACTCTGGTTAAAATTGATTTAATTGGTTTAATTGAATTGACTGGTTTAAATCAATTGGAAATGGTTTAATCGAATTGGATTGGTTTAATTATTTAATTGGTATTTAATTGATTAAATGGTTTAAAATAATTATATTAATTATTTTAAAATATGGAAAATTATTATTTAATTATGAGAATTATTTAATAATTGAGAAATTGAGTTTTAATTATTAAAATTATTTAATAATTGGAAAATGGTATTTAATAATTATTGGAGTTTATAAATATTATTAAATATCTAGTAAATTGCGTAAATGGCTCGTAGGCAGAGTGATTGCCTCACTAAGTATTTATTAAATACTTACGCAACTCCATTCCAATGTGTTGCAGGTAAAAGATTTGTGTGATCGCGGAATCAAGGCTGAAGAGGGGGATGATAGGATGTTTACTGTTTTATTGTTTTGCATTGTTTGACTTGCTAGTACCTGGTGTTTAGGTTGCTAGTATTTCCTTAATTATTTATTTGAATTTATTTGTTGAACCTGATTTATTATTTATTTATTTATTTAAAGACTTCCGCTGAATTGTTATTTAATTTATTATTAAAAAAAAAGTTGGTTGTTTCATTTTGGTATCAGAGCCTAGACGGTTTTAGGACTGTTAGAATTGCTAGGCTTTAGTATCATCCCCTTCAGCTACAAGAGATTCCGCGGTGAGTTTATGTTTGTTTTGAGTTTTGGTTGTGTTCTAGTGTGCTCATTTCGGTTCCATGAGTGAGATGGACGGAGTAGCTAGAGGTGTGGCGCGAGAGGGCGCGGTGCTCGAGCCGTGGTGGCAGAGCTAGAGGCCGTGGAGGCCGGGGCCGAGGTCGTGGACTTCGGCGGATTCGGGAGAGAGTGTGCGCCTAGTGTGGCGACTGCGTCGGTGACCCAGTCGTATCCATGGCGAGTGAGGCCAGTGTGGATGCGAGTGTTGGTTTGGGAGCGGGGGCTGCTCCGGGTTGGGGTGGTGCTCCGGCTCAGGGTCTTGATGACTTAGTGGTGGGTTTGCTGACGCAGTTATTGGCTCGTTTTCCGCCAGTGGTTCCACAGGGGGCTCCGGGAGTACCTCCAGTGGCAGAGGTGCAGCAGAGGGCTGCGGGTTTGTTCAGCCGCAGGCTGTGGGTTTGATGGTGCCGCCTATTGGATATGATGGGGCACATGCAGAGGATTGGTACGCCGTACTTTGAGGGCGGAGTTAGCCAGAGGCGGCAGTGTGTAGAGATTGGAGCGGAATTTCCAGTCTATCAGTTGTCTGTTTAGTATCAGGTGGAGTTAGCAGTCACTATCTGAGTGGTGACGCGCATTTTTGGTGGTTGTATTGTTCTTTTTGTCTGTGATAGAATTGTGAGGTTCTCAACGCATGTGTGTAGGGACCTTGTTAGTGGGCGGTTTTGAGTCCCACGTTTTATTCGACTCTGGAGCATCGAATTGCTTCATTACACCGGAGCGTGCCGAGAAGAGTGGCATCCGGAGTAGCGCGGGCGAGAGCGCGGGCATGGTCAAGGTGGCGGGAGGTGGATTCTTGTCTACTTTGGGCCGTGCTAGAGGAGTCGAGATCGAGATTGCGGGGCAGTCAATGCCAGCAGACTTAGTCATCAGTCCGGTGGAGCTGTATGACGTTATTCTCGGGATGGACTGGTTGTCACACTACAGAGTTCATCTGGATTGCTACAGAGGTAGAGTGGTCTTCGAGCGAGATGCAGGGAGGTTGGTTTATCAGGGAGTGAGACCGACTTCCGGGAGTATTGTGATATCTGCTATTCAGGCCGAGCAGTTGTTAGAGCGGGGCTGTGAGGCGTATCTGGCGACGATTTCTATGTCTGAGTCAGGAGCTGGAGTTGTTATGGGAGATATTGAGGTTGTCCAGGATTTTGAGGATGTCTTTCAGTCACTGAAGGGATTACCACCATCTCGGTCTGATCCTTTCACGATTGAGTTAGAGCCGGGGACAGCACCGATATCGAAGACGCCTTACAGGATGGCGCCAGCTGAGTTGGCAGAGCTGAAGAAGCAGATAGAGGACCTTTTGTCTAAGGGGTTCATTCGACCAAGTGTTTCACCGTGGGGAGCACCGGTGTTGTTTGTGAAGAAGAAGGATGGCAGTTTCAGACTTTGTATCGATTACAGAGGTCTTAACCGAGTCACTGTGAAGAACAGGTACCCACTCCCGAGGATTGATGAGTTGTTGGATCAGTTGAGGGGTGCTACTTGGTTCTCCAAGATTGACTTGGCATCGGGGTATCATCAGATCCCGATAGATGAGGCAGATGTCAGGAAGACTGCTTTCAGGACGCGTTATGGGCATTTTGAGTTTGTGGTTATGCCTTTCGGTTTGACTAACGCGCCGGCAGCCTTCATGAGATTGATGAACGACGTGTTCAGGGAGTATTTGGACGTGTTTGTCATCATTTTCATTGATGATATTCTGGTATACTCGAGGAGTCAGGAGGAGCATGCGACTCACTTGAGGTTGGTTCTGGAGAAGCTTCGGGAGCAGAAGCTTTTTGCTAAGTTGAGCAAGTGCAGTTTCTGGCAGCGAGAGATGGGATTTCTTGGCCACATTGTTTCTGCAGAGGGAGTTTCTGTGGATCCGGCTAAGATTGAGGCTATCAGAGATTGGCCTAGACCTAGTAGTGCCACCGAGATCAGGAGTTTTCTGGGTTTGGCAGGATACTACAGGAGGTTCGTCAAGGGGTTTGCTACCATGGCGCAGCCGATGACGAAGTTGACCGGGAAGGATGTCCCGTTTGTTTGGTCAGCTGAGTGTGAGGAGAGCTTTAGTCAGCTCAAGGAGATGTTGACTACTACACCAGTGTTGGCGTTACCCGAGCCAGGGAAGCCTTACATGGTGTATACAGATGCTTCAGGCATTGGTCTTGGTTGTGTGCTGATGCAGGAGGGCAGAGTGATAGCATATGCTTCGAGACAGTGGCAGGGCAGTGAGCGTAACCGTCCTACACATGACTTAGAGTTGGGAGCAGTGATCTTCGCGTTGAAGATTTGGAGGTCTTACTTGCTAGGTGAGACAGTACAGGTCTTCACGGATCACAAGAGTTTGCAGCATATCTTCACTCAGCCGATGATGAACGCGAGACAGACGCGCTGGGTTGAGTTCTTGGCGGACTATCAGGTGAGCATTAACTACCATCCGGGCAAGGCTAACCTAGTGGCGGACGCGTTGAGTAGACGGAGGTATGATTCCGCAGTTGAGCGAGATGTGGAGTCTCTAGTTGGCGAGATCAGTACCTTGCGTTTGTGTGCCATTTCGCAGGAGCCTTTGGGTTTAGAGGCAGTGGATCAGGCGGATCTACTTAGCAGGATCAGAGTTGCTCAGCAGAGTGATCAGAGTTTGCTAGATGCGACGAGAGTGACTGGTTCTGAGTATGAGGTCTCTGCGAATGGGACTATCTTGGTTCGTGGGCGAGTTTGTGTGCCTAAGGATGTGGAGTTGAGACATCAGATTTTGGGAGAGGCTCACGCGAGCAAGTTTTCCATTCATCCGGGAGCGACCAAGATGTACCATGACCTCAAGAGGTACTATCATTGGGTCGGGATGAAGAGGGATGTAGCAGACTGGGTTGCGAAGTGCAACACTTGTGCCTTGGTGAAGGCAGAGCATCAGGTTCCGGGTGGTCTTTTGCAGAGTTTACCCATTCCAGAGTGGAAGTGGGACAGGATTACGATGGATTTCGTGGTTGGACTACCTGTTTCGAGGACTTTCGATGCTATTGGGTGATTGTGGATCGGTTGACTAAGTCCGCACATTTCTTGGCCATCAAGAAGACAGATGGAGCTGCTGTCTTGGCTAGGAAGTTTGTGCGAGAGATTGTGAGGCTGCATGGAGTGCCAGCTAGTATTGTGTCAGACCGTGATCCCAGATTCACTTCAGAGTTTTGGAGGGCGTTTCAGGCAGAGATGGGCACTAAGGTGCATCTGAGTACAGCTTATCATCCGCAGACAGATGGTCAGTCAGAGAGGACTATTCAGACTTTGGAGGATTTGCTGAGGATGTGTGTGTTGGATTGGGGTGGCCATTGGGCAGATCACCTGAGCTTAGTTGAGTTTGCATACAACAACAGCTTTCAGGCGAGTATTGGCATGGCTCCATTTGAGGCTTTGTATGGGAGGCCATGTAGGACACCCCTATGCTGGACCCAAGTGGGGGAGCGCAGCATGTATGGAGCTACTTATGTTCAGGAGACGACAGAGAAGGTTCGTGTTGTGAGGCTGAACATGAAGGAGGCTCAGGATAGGCAGAAGAGTTATGCAGATAGACGCAGACGAGAGCTTGAGTTTCAGGTTGGAGATAGAGTTTATCTCAAGATGGCTATGTTGAGGGGTCCTAACAGATCCATAGCAGAGAACAAGCTGAGTCCGCGATTTATGGGTCCGTTTCCAGTAGTGGAGCGAGTTGGGCCATTGGCTTACAGGCTGGAGTTGCCTGAGATTATGAAAGCCTTTCACAAGGTTTTTCATGTGTCGATGCTGAGGAAGTGTCTTCACCCTACAGAGGAGTTAGTGGCTAGGATTCCAGAGGATCTTCAGCCAGATTTGACAGTGCCGGCAGTGCCTGTGAGGATTTTAGAGAGGAGGGAAAAGGTTCTGAGGAACAAGAGGATTCCCTTACTGAGGATTTTGTGGGATTGCAGTGGTTCTACAGAGGAGACTTGGGAGCCAGAGGCAAAGATGAAGTTGAAGTTCAGGAAGTGGTTCGACAAGCAGGTCGAGGAGTGAGCTTATTTCATCTTTGTAGCCTCAGTTGTTATTTTTGGCTTTGGTGTTATTGTATTTTCGTTTTCGTTGTAACGATATACATTTTGGAGTTTTAATGAGATGCAGTTTTTCCTCATTTTGCCTTGTGTTGTGAAATGGTATTCGGATGTTACACATGTTTGACCAGTTTTTGGTTGTGAGACGGTCTAATCTTATGGTTATAGACATTTTCCGGAATTTTTACTCTAAGGATTGCGATCCTGAATAACTCATCATGTTTTTGGAGACTTCGTTCTCTGGCAGACTCTCTGGGTGCAAGTAGGCCTCAGTTGAGTGTAGCTTATCTGGGTGCAAGTAGGCCTCAGTATAAGCAGTTTGTTCATCTGGGTGCAAGTGGGCCTCAGTATGGACGGTTTCGGGTTCGTCTGGGTGCAAGTGGGCCTCAGTGCGGACCGGTGTGGACTTGTCTGGGTGCAAGTGGGCCTCAGTACAAGTGGTTTGTGTGTTTTGGATGATGAGTTAGGAGTGAAAATTTCTTGGAACGTGTTTATGACATAAGATTGACGTTTGTCTCGGGGATCAGGTGAGGATCTCCAGTGTTGCGGCCTTGCGAGGTCGGGTTTTGTGGTCTTTGTGACGTTTGGAGTTGGGATTCGAGGACGAATCCAGTTTAGTGGGGGAGAGTTGTAACATCCGTAAACCAAAAAGGTGATTTTAGTGTCGGCGACACACAGGTTTGTGTCGGTCGACACCATGGTTTGCAATTTCGGTTCAATTTAAGTTGGTTTAGACCGGTTTAGGGCTTGGAAACCCTTGTTCGAAATAAAATCGTGCAGCCGCTTCCTCTTCTGTTTTGTCATTTAGTGGCGATTGTGAGAGGAGAAGAGTTTTTGAGGTGATTCCAGTGTTTGGTGTTAAATCCGAGTCTGTTCAGCGATTCGGAGTTCTGGGTGTGTGTGGTGGTGCTGCGTGGTGTTCTTCGTCGTTTCTTGCTTCAGTTCATCTTCTCCAATTCGTTTTCCCCTCTTTTCAACCTAGAATCAAGGTGAGTGCATGACTGTGGGTCCGTGATTGCTAGATTCAGGATATGTATGTGTTTATGTGGTGATTTTGTGATGATATTGATGTTTGATTCAGTGTTTATGGATGTTTGATGATTTCCTGTGAATTCGAGTTTCGGTACTGTTCATAGCCCGATCTGGGTTTTTCCAGAATCGGTGTCGGTCGACACCAGAAGGCTTGTGTCGGTCGACACCAAGCTGGTGTCGGTCGACACAGACCGGTTAACTGGTTAAAATTGATTTAATTGAATTGACTGGTTTAAATCAATTGGAAGTGGTTTATCGAATTGGATTGGTTTAATTGGTATTTAATTAATTAATGATATTTAATTGATTAAATGGTTTAAAATAATTATATTAATTATTTTAAAATATGGAAAATTATTATTTAATTATGAGAATTATTTAATAATTGAGAAATGAGTTTTAATTGTTAAAATTATTTAATAATTGGAAAATGGTATTTAATAATTATTGGAGTTTAAAAATATTATTAAATATCTAGTAATTGCGTAAATGGCTCGTAGGCAGAGTGATTGCCTCACTAAGTATTTATTAAATACTTACGCAACTCCATTCCAATGTGTTGCAGGTAAAAGATTTGTGTGATCGCGGAATCAAGGCTGAAGAGGGGGATGATAGGATGTTTATTGTTTTATTATTTTGCATTGTTTGACTTGCTAGTACCTGGTGTTTATTGCTAGTATTTCTTTAATTATTTATTTGAATTTATTTGTTGAACCTGATTTATTATTTATTTAAAGACTTCCGCTGAATTGTTATTTAATTTATTTATTTAAATAAAAAAAAAAGTTGGTTCATGCTGTCTTTTACTATGGCTCCGAGTGGTACTCCGGTTTGGAAACGATTTGATGAGTTAGGATTATAAAAATATAGAAAATTGTCGGTTAGATTCAATGTCACGAGGAGAGGAGGATTCAAGATATATAAAAAGAAGAGTTCCATAAGCAGCCATTGTTCAAGAAAAAAATAGAGTTTCATAAACTTCACATTAATCTTGTTTACTGTTTACAATGTTAATCTTGGATCGGCCGCGTAAGGGGACCAGGCCCACGCACGTCCCACGTGTTAATACTGGACGTGGTCAAAGTGCGATAAATGTCATCATTGTGCTATACGCCTATACCAATATATAAAGACCACGAGACCCACGAGTCTTTGTTTAACAATTTCATGCATTGGCTAAAAAACAAACGAAAGATAAAGGGCAGTTTGTATTTCTTGGAAATTTTAGAAGATTCACAAATATTTTATTTTCTTTCTAATCATTAATTAATTTTTATAGATAAAATCTACTTTTAGATTAATTTCTAGAAGTGCTATGTCCAATTACATTACATTTAATTTTTCTAATAACTAAAACTAGGGTTTGACCCGTGTCCTGCACGGAGTGATGGTTTCTGAATTTGTATTTTTATTAAAAGATGTTTATTTAAATATATCTCAAAATTTTATGCGACGGATTTTTAATCTTTGTTAGATTATTGTCTTCGTTTATTCGTTTATAATATGAAAATCAAGCATTTTCTACTATTTTTTAAAAAGGTAAATAGATTAAAGTCTTGGATGTAGCCATATATTAAATATGATAGATTTAAGCGAGATACATAAAACTCAAATGACTACAGTATAATAAGTTAGTTTAAAAAACAAAAAATGTGAAAATAAAACATTATTCTTTACAAAAAAATTATACTGTATTTCATAAGATAAGAAGTCTTAGCTGTGTGCACACATATTAGAACTATTTTTTTTTCTTTTAAAACTAAAACACGGATTAAAATCAATTTTTTCCTTTTTTTCAAAAGGATTATAATTAATTTTTTTTCTTCTTTCAAAACTAAAACACGGATTAAAACCATTTTTTTTCTTTCTTTCAAAACTAAAATATGGATTTTTTTCTGTCTTTCAAAATTAAAACATGCTTTATTATAATTTCAAAACAATCCAACCAATAAGAAGACAATCTGCATAATCTAAATTGTTAAAACAATAAAAATATAATTAACTTTATAATGAAAGTTGAAATAGATGGAGTAATATTCAAATTTTTAATCAAAATAAAAATTTATTAAAAAAAATTATTCAGTTTTATTATAGAATTTAATTAAAAACCATATTAAATGGAATAAAAATAATATGAAGCTGCTTGATACCTACTAAATGAGGTTATATACTAAACAATTTACATTATTTTGTTTTTAAAAATTCAAATCATAGCATATTCAGAAAAAGATTTAGATTTTCTTTATTAGTTTTCTTATATGATGATTCATATTATTTTATAAAATAAAGTTAAACAAAGATGATAGAAGATATATAGTGATTTAAAAAAAATATTATGATAGAAATCAATTGGAATTTCATATCTTCCTTATTTACTTATTTTCGTAATTGCCATTTAAGGAAAGAAAATAATAATAAAGGGATGGTAAGCATAATATGCAATGGCATATATTGTAATTTTTCTAGTAAATGTTGTCTTATTTAAAAGTTGAGCTGAGAGTGAACCTGGTGATGACACCTAAGCAATGACACTCTTGTTAATAACACATGAGATAAAGGTTATTTTGATAGTGTTTTCTCTTTTAATATATTAGGGATATGATTTGAAAATAAAATATTACATTGTTGTAGCTAGTCAAACAGAACTAGTTAGATACATTTAACAACTTTCCTTAAGTGAAATTATGCTTAGTTAACAAAGTTGTTCGATCCAACTAGATGTGTTATTGCAAGGATTGTGATTTGCTAGGGTTTAGAAATACACAAGAACATGTGATTTGTTCGTTGATTTCCTTGATTTTCATAAAAAAAAAAAGACTTTATGTACAATTAGTTACAGAATAATTCAAAGTTTCAAACTCCATACTAAAAAATTCGAATCATTGAGAACTTGTATTCTTACATTACAATATCATATATGATGGAATCAGACATTACGTTTCCAGTTTAACCTCCAACAGGTTACCGATTAAATGTACTCAAGTTGATTAAATAATTAAGCATCTCAATAATTACATTATGTATTTTTAATACAAAATACGACAAGTTGATACTAATATCGTTATCATCAATTGTTATTACATACTAGTGGACCAATATTCATATATTTTTTGTTAATTTTTTGTTTAAAAAATTGAATAATAACCAAGCTCGATATATATAATTCCACCATTAGCCTCTCTTTTTCCCTCACACATAATCGTTCATCTGCAACATCACATTCATAGTCTCTACTCTCTACAATCAGGTTGGTTATCCCTCTCCCTCTTTCTATCTTTCTCTCTTTATTATGCACATACACACATGTATGTAGCTCTTTGCTTTCTGATAATCAATCAATTTATCTTTTCCTAACGCAACTGTTTCTTAATTAATCTGACTTTTGGTCGCACAATGCTCGAGATTGTTATCATTAAGTATAGACTAAAGTAAAGCTAGATAACCAAAAAACCATTTAGGTATTGACCGGCTTTACATTTGCAAGAGTTAGAACAAGAAACCGACATAATCTTGATTTTTCTTGGTAACTATTGGTTGACTAAAAAATACAAATTTATTATACACATACGAACAGAGTAATAGAAGCGATCGACGATGTCTTGGGACGATGGATCACACGCGAAGGTGAAGAAAGTGCAGCTTACGTTCGATGAGATCATTTACTCAATCCAGGTCACGTACGACGGATCCCTTCAATCCCAGCTTCGCGGCTCCGTTGGTCCCAAAAACGCTGAGGTTAGTGGAAAATGAAAGAAAAAGTCTTCGTATATTTAATTGTAAATTGTAATTTCTATAACTTAGAATTTTCATATGAAATCAATCAGTTCACTTTGGCTTCAGACGAGTACATAACTGCCCTTTCTGCTTACGGCAAAACGTTGACCTCCCAAGAAGTTATAGCAGCGTTGACTTTCACTACCAACAAGACGACTTATGGACCGTACGGAACCAAATCCGGTTACCAGATTTCTGCTCCTGAGGCTACCGGTAAACAGATCTCCGGTTTTCTTGGTAGCAGTGGCAACGTTCTCAACTCCATCGACGTTCACTACGCTCCAAAGCCCGGCAGTGGAACAGGAACCGGAACCGGAACTGGCACTGGCACTGGTACAGGAACCGGAACCGGCACTGGTACAGGAACCGGAACCGGAACCGGAACTGGCACTGGCACTGGTACAGGAACCGGAACCGGAACTGGCACTGGCACTGGTACAGGAACGGGAACCGGAACTGGCACAGGAACCGGAACTGTGGCCCAAAAACTGGAAGCACAAGGTGGCACCGGAGGCACAGCATGGAACGATGGATCCGATCAAGACGGCGTGACAAAGATATACGTAAGATCTGGTGATAAGGGCATTCAGTCAGTCAAGTTCAACTATGTGAAAGCCGGACAAGCAAAACTAGGAGCTCTCCACGGTGTGGATGATAGAAGAGGTTCAACGAAAGAGGTCAGCTATTAGGTTTAGGTGTTCCCTCTAAATGTTTTTTTTTGTTCCTCGGAAGATTTTAATGACATATTGGATCCATGCAGATTGTGATCAACCATCCAGATGAGTATCTGATTTCCGTTGAGGGTTGGTATGATTCCTCCAATGTCATTCAGGGAATCCAATTCAAATCCAACAAGAAGACTTCTGATTACATCGGCTATGACTTTGATGGTACTGGTCCTAAATTTACTCTCCAAGTTCAAGACAAGAAGATCATTGGGTTTCATGGTTCTGCCGGCACCTATCTCAATTCCATTGGAGCTTATTTCGTTCCATTAGCCTCCACCTCCACTCCAGCTCCTGCCCCTGCGAAGAAGTTAGAAGCCAAGGGTGGTGCAACAGGAGTTGTGTGGGACGATGGTCATTACGACGATGTTAAAAAAGTATATGTTGGACAAGGCCAAGATGCTATTGGAGCTGTCAAGTTTGAGTACGTAACTGGTTCCAAAGTAACCACGTTGGAACATGGAAAGTCAACTTTGCTTGGATACGAGGAGGTACGTTTAATAATAATAAAAAGTTCAGTGGTTTTTTGTTTTTTGTTTTTTGTTTTTTTTTTTATAGTGGAACTAGCTAGTTTCAATAGATTTAGATATGCCTTCTTCGTCTTGTGCAGTTTGCGCTTGAATCAGGTGAATACATAACATCCGTGGAAGGCACCTACGACAAAATCTTTGGGACTGACAGTGATGTTGTAACGATGCTCATTTTCAAGACTAACAAGAACAGAACATCTGACCCGTTTGGGCTTGAAGGTAGCACAAAGTTCGTTTTCAAGGAGGAAGGTTACAAGATTGCCGGGTTCCATGGACGAGCTGGCCAGACTACTATTCATGCTATTGGAGTTTATGTAGCTCCAGTAGGCACCACCCCCTTGAATCCTGCACAACCAACCAACTGATCAGAGATATCTTGAATTTGTCACACTTTGTGGTCTCTCCCTCTTGATTTCCTGTGAAATTTGAATAACCTGATCATGTTTTTATTGGTTTTTGTTTGTTTCTTGTGTTTCAAGTCTTCTCTTTGTGTTATTGTTCTGCCTTTTTATGGTTCTGTGATCCCATTTTAATAAAGGAAGTTTCTTCCAATCATATCCGCTTGGTCCAAGCACAAACTGCACATATTTGCAACCGTTTCAAATTTCAACAGTCTAAGGTAGTAAATGGCTTGAAAAGTAGGACATGATATAGAACAAAAACAAGAAATCAACCTCTCTGCTTCAAGCCTTAATAAGAGGATCTAGTGACTATAAACAGATTTGTCATTGTTGTTGAAACGTAGAGAGAGGGGTCGAGCCTTTGAAGTTAACAGCCACATATGATCTTTTATACGCTTAAAAAACCATTAGCTGACAAAAAAAATGTCACCATGATTGTTATCTCCAAGCCTTGCTAAAACAGGAAAACAAACGAACAGAGATAATAATGTTTGTATTCCTTGGAAAATTAAGAAGACTCCAAAGAAAGTCGATTAACCATTATTGACTTTTGTAGAGTGAAAATTCTATCCAAGTAGATGTGGAATTGTAAAGATTAAGATTAGTGTTTAAAAATACATTACACTCGTGAATTGGTGGTTCATTTCTTTGATTTCTGTAACAAAACAAAAATCGACGTACAATTAGTTACCAAATAATTTGTATTTTCAAACTGCATGTACTAAGAAAATCACATTTCTATTCCCAGTATCAAATCCGACCGAATAGAAAATTACACTTCCAAAGTTCAAAGTGTGACTGTACGATTAGAGGAAGCTGCAAACGACGTACTAATCAAATGGAATCAAGTTGTTTATAGTAATACTGAGAATCAAGTTGCATCAACCAAGTTGCATCAACCGGGTTCTCGAGGTCTGGTGGTAATGGAGCCTCAGCTGAGGTGTCCGTCATCACGAGTTCGAGTCCCCGGCCACTCGGGCTGTCTTAAATGGCAAGATTACGTGGACTGTCGTGGGCCTCGTGGGATTAGTCTTAGACCTAAAAAGCCTTTAAATCACCTACGGTTATCAAAAAATAAAAAAATAAAAAAAATAAATGCATGCATCTATCTTAAAGACATTTTTGTTCAAGAAAAGAAAGAAAAAGGTTAATTTAGTAACTTTTTTTTTTAATAAAGAATGGGTTAGTTCATGTATTCCCTTAAATTTTTCTCTCGAGTAAGGAAAGTTTTGTGACACGACACGGGAATTTATTTATTTATTACGTACTCGTGGAGCACATGGTCAATTTTATACTGGCCACGTAATGCGTAATTATGTTACAGTTAATTAGTAATAACTAAGCTCGTGTATATAAATCACTCCATTAGCCTTTCTTCTGTCACACACAATCAGGTTACCCATCTCTTTCTCTCTTTACATATATACACACATTTGATATTTGGTTCTAAACAGGTTGTGCTCCCAATAAACAGCAGGTGATTAGTAAGATTATTCAAAAGCAAGCAAAAGAGATGGCCCAAAAGGTGGAAGCACAAGGAGGAAATGGTGGCAACCAATGGGACGATGGATCCGAACACGACACTGTGACAAAGATTGAGGTCGCTGCAGGAGGGAAGGGTATTCTATATGTTAAGTTCGAATATGTCAACAACGGACAAACCAAAGAATCCCCTCTTCGCGGTGTCAAGCAGGACCGTACTATCCCAGCTGATCCGGTTCGGTTCCGATACACTATCCTTGCCTATATTTCTTCATTTTTATTTTTATAGTTATAATGAAAATCAAAAAGATGCTAAGATTACATACTGTCAAATGTTATGAACTAAAATACTATATATCATGGCTAGCTAGTTGTTGTCATTTGTCAAACATTGTTAAGGGCATGATTAAGATAAAATTTTATGTTTGAAGTTATTCGCGTTATGAATCTCGATCTTTGGCTCATTGCAGTTTGTGATTAACCATCCAGAGGAGTATCTGATTTCTGTAGAAGGTTGGTATAGCTCTGAAGGTCTCATTCACGGGCTAAAGTTCAAATCCAACAGGAAGACTTCTGATAACATCGGCTATGACTTTCATGGTGATGGTACTGAATTTACTCTCCAAGTTCAAGACAAGAAGATCATCGGCTTTCATGGTTTCTCCGACGGGTATCTCAAATCCATTGGAGCTTATTTTGTTCCAATAGCCTCCACCGCTCCTTCAGTCCCTCCATCACCAATAGCGAAGAAGCTACAAGGCGAAGGTGAGGATGGAGGGACTTCATGGGATGATGGTGCTTTTGACGGTGTGAGAAAAGTGCATGTTGGACAATTCGACATCGGTATAGCAGCGGTCAAGTTTGTGTATGATAAAGATGCTGCTGAGATCGTTGGAGATGAACATGGCAAACGTACTTTGGTGGCTAACGATGAGGTACATTGTACTTCTTGTATGATAGGTTTTTTCTTTTTTTTCTTTTCTTCAAAATTAATTTCAAAGTTTGTTTTGTTTGCGTTTCCTTTAATTCCAGTTTGTGCTTGACTATCCAAGTGAATACATCACAGAAGTGAAAGGCACCTACGAGAAGGTCATTGGTAGCAAGGCCATGGTAATAAGTATGCTTAAATTCACGACTAATAAGAATCGAACATCTGATCAGTTTGGCATTGAATCTGGCAAAGCCTTCACACTCGGAGAGAAAGACCACAAAGTCGTTGGCTTCCATGGAAACGCTGATAATCTGCTCCACAAACTCGGGGTCTATGTCCTTCCCATCACCAACTGATCATGGATATCAGAAGAATTTGTCACAGTTTGTGAACTTTGAATAAGTTGATGGTACTTTTTTTTCTGCTTTACGTTTGTTTCTTGTATTTCAAGTCTTCTCGTATGTGTTGTTGTTCTGTCTTCTGAGTTCTGATGGATTTGTGATTTTAACAATAAAGGAAGAGGTTTCTTCCCTTAATTAATATATTTAGCACTCCATAGAAAAAAAAAGATTAAAATCACAAAGGGAATATCGTTTATTTAGATACGAAAGGATGGTAAACATCGTTTATTTAGATAAAATGAAAACCATCAATACCTAGCACAAATGATGGGTCGAAACTAGCATTATGATATCATCCAAGCACAAACTTTAATTGATAGAACATAGTCGACTCACTTGGATCAACAGTTGGATCGGTACAGTTTGCTGTGAATTTTGCTCTTCCAGTTGCAATCATAAACTCACTTGATATCAGTTTAGATTAACAAAGAAGGAAGGAGGATCGAGGATGCATGGATAATAGTACAGCCATCTACGAGTTTTGAGTTTTTTTCCTCTGTTTAATGTTGAAATTATATTTCTTCAATGTACACACCTTGTTGGAACTCACGTGAACTGAATAAAATAAAACTAGACCCCATGTGATGGAAAATATTGCAAAAAGCTCTAAGAGAAACCCTAGCTAGGAAGAAAAAAAGAAAAGAAAAAGAGATCGAATGAATCCAAAGTAGAAACTTGAAGAAATGTCGAGTTAGTATTCGCTCGTGGCGGTAAGAGCATATTTGTTCACTTTTTAAAAGTTGGATGTCAACTTTATACAAATCCGTATACAATAAATTATAAAACTTTTGGATGTAAACTCACCAAAATCATCTAGATCGTCTTAATTAAAAAATCAACTTGTTTTTGATGTTGAAATCTTAAATTTGTAAATCTTCTGGTCCATTAGTCTCGAACATGATCAAGAACATACCCAAATAATATAAAATAAAATAATTTCAAAAAGTTTATAATTCTGTCATGTGAAGAAAATATTGTTGACAAATTAAAACATGCTACAACTTCCGAAACAGAATTTAACACACTAAGGAAATCAGACAATAACAAAATCTAATACAATTAAATTTGTCCTAAAATAGGGACCAGGCTAGGGATATAGGCGCAAACATTAGTCAAAGATTCAACCATAGGATCTATTTTGATTTTTTTCAACTCATGTCCCTTCACGATGTAGATACAAGCTTGTCCAAATTGGTCCCCAAAACACACCACGAGCCTCTTATCGTCGGTGTCGTCGATGAAGTAACATGGGTCACAGATAAAATTATAATTTTTGTGATACAATTTTGGGATACTTATTGAGACGGTCATGAACTTCACCCACAGCACAGCCTCGTCATCCTCGTTTTTAATATTCTCTTTTGTCACCCAAACCACGATTTCATTAGTTGCATCACATTGCTCTAATACTGATAGTCGGTCTCTCTTGAAAAGTGCGAGGACTCTAGTATTTTCTCGAACATTTTTGCACGGCAGACGACATAGTGTGTCAAATTTCTCCGTAGCACAAGTGAAGCGCCGGATGGAATACCAACAAGAGTCTTCGTAAGTAAAAGCAATGTAATACAAAGTTCCATTCAAAGATACTGAATTACTTAAGTAAATTAGGTTTTCCTTAAGAGTGTCTTCAACATTAACAACTTTCCATGCATTAGATGCAATTTCATAGATCTGTATTTTCCGGTTGGCTAGACACGCATCCAAATCAATAACGTACCTAAGGATCTTATAACCATTGCTCTTAATGTCGTATAATATGCCATATTTTCTAATACCACAACTTTCATGGTAGTCTAACCATCTAGTCTGTCTCAACCAAGGGTTCCAAACAGCCACCCCTTGGTCTGATATACAAAGCAAGAACCCGTCGCAATAAACAATTTTTTTCGGCAACATAAAATTTGGATAGTCAAGGACTAGCTTACGCATCTTTATCGATGGATCGTTTCCATCGAGATCGTGGATGCATGCCGAATAAATCTGAGATTTTGTGCATAAGATGAATTGTGGACGGGAATGAGCCAAGTGGTTGTTTATAAACATCTTGTCGTTGAAAAGAGTCTGCCACCGTTTGCAGACGGTTCTAAATCGGACAAGAGATAAAGGTGGAACACGAGATAGTATCTCTACCTCTAACTCCCACGGAAGTTTCTCCACCTCCATTCTTTACGTTTTTTATCGAAGATAAAATAATATTACAAAAAGACTACTAATGAAACCTATATATATATGAAACCTCCAAAAAGTAGAAGAAAATAATGTATACTACTAATGCTAAAGTGGATGTGATCCACCATCTATAGAGATATTTTTAAAGAAAATTGGACGTGTCATTTTAGCTTCTACAGAGTATAGTCCATAATTTTTTTTTTATAGATAGAGTTACTATTTTAAAGATAAAATCAATACAAATTTATAGTATTAACTATCTTGGTGCAATTGAATTAAGAAAAAGATAAGCAAATTATTAAGTAAAAAACAAAAAGGGGATTGCAAAAATTATCATGTTGTGTTTAATTTTTAGAAATACGACACATTTTTAGAGTTCCAAAAGTTAATCAAGAATTCAATTTTTTTTAAGACTTGTAAGCACCTTCTTATATAATTTTCACATCCTCTTACAAATTTTTAACTATTATGATAGTTTTAAAAACATACAATAAAAGGTAATACAAGTGTACAAAATTGATCTCAAAATTTATTAATGGATATATGAAAACTATAAATAAAAGTAGCTTTAAGAGATTTCTTAAGAATCTGCAAATGCTAACAAGTTTGGCGACTTTATTATATTAATTTTAAAAACCTTTAATGTGTTTTACGTGTTTTTAATATTGTTTAGATAAATTTTCTTTCTTTTTTGTTACAAAAAGGTGATAAATAATCTTCTTATATTCTTCATTAGAAAGGATAGTTGTTCAAAAACGTTCACAAGATTTAGAAATTATACATACTTATATTGTTAAAACGCTAATTACTTTTTTATATCCTAAATCGTGAAATCTAAACCATATTCGAACAACTAAAACCCTAAGCTTTGTTTTAAATATTCTTGACTTTCATAAAGGTTTAATCGCAAAGTCTGAACCATAATCCAGACAACTCAAATCGCTGTTTGATTTCGTCGAAGTCACCGTTGTCGGACGTCAATCTCTCTCCCTCTTTTGCTTTTTTTGTATCCTATCTTTCCTTCACGTATATATGCATGCATGATGCATCTATCTTAAAGACATTTTTGTTCAAGAAAATAAAGAAAAAGGTTAATTTTGTGATCAAAAAAATAAACTTACTAAAAATGGGTTAGTTCATATAGTCCCTAGTTTCTCATACATAAAACATACCAATTCCTCTGTTTAGTGTTTACTTGAATATGGCTTACTGGATTGTCATTTCACTATCCCTATAAGTGAAAATACTTAAACCTTTTTAATCAGATAAAATAAAACTTTCTGTATATCTATATCTCGAGTCCTCCTGACAAATCATCGAAAGAAAGGTGTTCAATCAAGAACCCTATTTTTTTAATTTGTGAATATCTGATTATTAGGCTCAGTTAGATTGAACGATGTGTTGTTTAACCAAGGTCTCGTGACCCAGTGGTAAAGGGGTCACAGCTGTGACTTCCGCCACTTGGGTTCGAGTCCCCTTGGCCACCCGGGCTGCCTTAAATGGTAAGAATACGCGGATTGCTGTGGGTCTCGTGGGATTAGTTTTTGAGTCTAGAAAGCCTTTAGGATCCCCACGGTTATAAAAAAAAAAAACGATGTGTTGTTTTTTAACGAAAACTGTTTTTTCTTCTAAACAAATATTTATATCCTTTTTTAACATAACAAATGCAGCCTTTTATCAGACGAAAATTATGTACTATTTTTACGTTATTGTAGGGGAGGTTTATTTTTTTAACCGAGGGATATCCTTTTACAAAAAAAAAAACAAATATTAACCGAGGTTTTCAATCCACACACCACGCTTGCCACGTGTATGATATTATAATTTTACAGTCGTTATAAGCTTAATATGTCGCATTAGCTGTCCAAAAAAAGTGTTGTTCCAAAAAAAAAAAAAAAAAAAAAAAAAGCGGTCTAAAAAACGTAACAGGTAACGGCCAACACTGAATTGTTATTTAGCCATGCAATGCACGATCAATTTATTAAATAATTAAGGTTACGACAAACCAAAGAAGGTTCCATTGGATTTAAATTTAATTTCCATTCGTGTCACCATCTTGAGTACACATGAGTCACGAGTCATGTTCTCGCTATTTCGTGACTGGTACACCAATAGAGAGAGATAGTGGAAAAACTCTCCCGCCTAAAATATGTAATGGGAATTAAATTTCTCACTTCAAAAGCACAAAATTTGTCCGGCATGTATTGTTCTTGTTCATCACCCGAAATTATCACAAATTTGTTATAGCGTTGAGAAATTTCTTAAGTTTCTGAAAATGTAATTTAAGTTTTTTCGAGATTTTCTATTTTTATTTTAAAACCTTAATGTAGTTGACGTTGTATAAATGATATTCATTTCCTTCATTTGAAAGGGTAATGGTTTAACAAATTTCATAAATTTTGAGAAACTTAACATACTAATCCTGTAAAATTGTTATCGACTTTTTTTTTCATTTGAAGGTTACTTTTATATCTAAGTCATAAATTCGTAAAAGGTAAACCATATCCGAACAACTAAAAAACCTTAACCGCGTGGTTTTAAATCTTGTTAAATCTCATATCCTGTTTTTCTTTCACGTATATATGCATGCCTCTATTTTAAAGACATTTTGGATCAAAAATAAAGAAAAAGGTTAGTTTGCAATTAAAAAGAAAAAAAAACTTATAAAAATGGGTTAATTCATATAATCCTTTATTTTTTGGCATGGGTTGGGTAAGGAAAGTTTACTAGAAAACCATCACCGATTTTGTGACACACGACACTGGAAATTATTGTTACGTGCGCGTGGAGCACATGGTTCTTTTTATATTGGCCACGTACATAATTCCTAACTTTACAGTAAAATCATAATAACTAACTAAGCTCGTATATATAAATCACTCCATAGCCTATTCTTCTGTCACACAAAAATCGACATCCTCAGATCACCACATTCATAGTCTCTACAATCAGGTTATCCTTCTATTTCTCTCTTTATATATATATATATATATACACATGCAATGTAACTATCTGCTTTTAAATAATTTGATCAATCAATCGATCTTTTCGTCTCTCAAAAGATATATTTTTGATCTTTTGTTAAAGACATGTTGACTGTTTGTTTCATAATCAAATTGACTTTTGGTCGCCCAATGCTCGAGATTGTTATCATTAAGTGTATATACTCGTCTATATAGTGAAGAGATTTCTACAACAGAAAAAAAAAACGGATTGGGATTGACCGGCTTCAAACACAGGATTTAGAATAAGAAACCGAATTAGCATTTGACTTTGGTAATTGAAATAACTATTGGTTGACTAAAGATAAGTAATGTATACAAACAGGTTAATTAATAGAAGCGACGATGTCTTGGGACGACGGATCACACGTGAAGGTGAAGAGAGTGCAGCTTACTTACGACGATGACGCCATCAACTCAATCCAGGTCACGTACGACGGAACCCTTCAATCCCAGCTTCGAGGCTCCGTTGGGTCCAAATCTGCCGAGGTTAGTGGGAGAGAGAGATAGAGAGAGTGAAAATAAAGTATTCGTATTTTCTATAGGAAATATATAATTTATTTATGTAACCTTAAATGTTCATATAAAATTATCAGTACATAACGTCTCTCACTGCTTACCGACGAACACTGACGGTTATAACGGCCTTGACTTTCACGACGAACAAGAGCAGTTATGGACCGTACGGAAACAAATCCGAAATCACGGCGATCTCTGTCTTTGGGGAGACCGGTAAACAGATCGCCGGTTTCTTTGGTAGCAGTAGCAATGTTCTCGACTCCATCGGCGTCCACGTCGCTCCTGTACCTTGCCCATAAATTGGATGCACAAGGTGGCACAAGAGAGACTGAATGGGACGACGGGTCAGACCACGACGGCGTGACCAAGATCTACGTAAGATCCGATGCGACTGGCATTCAGTTGGTCAAGTTCGACTATGTGAAAGACGGAAAACCAAAACTAGGAGCTCTCCATGGCGTGCATGGTAATAGTAGAGGTTCAACGCGAGAGGTAACCTAACTAACTAATAGCTTTCCTTCAACGTTTAACTTTTCATCGCATTGTTATTAGTGACGTTAATTATTAAATGATTTCGGCAGTTTGCAATTAACCATCCCGAAGAGTATCTGGTTTCCGTCGAGGGTTGGTGTGACTCATCCACTGTCATTATGGGTATCCAGTTCAAAACCAACCACAAGACTTATGAACACATGGGATATGACTTTCATGGTGATGATACTAAGTTTGATCTCCAAGTTCAAGACAAGAAAATCATTGGGTTTCACGGTTTCGCGACCAACCGTCTCACCTCCATTGGAGCTTATTTCGTTCCATTAGCCTCCACCGCTCCTTCAGTCCCTCCATCACCAATAGCGAAGAAGCTACAAGGCGAAGGTGAGGATGGAGGGACTCCATGGGATGATGGTGCTTTTGACGGTGTGAGAAAAGTGCATGTTGGACAATTCGACATCGGTATAGCAGCGGTCAAGTTTGTGTATGATAAAGATGCTGCTGAGATCGTTGGAGATGAACATGGCAAACGTACTTTGGCGGGAAACGATGTGGTACATTGTACTTCTTGTATGATAGGTTTTTTCTTTTTTTTTTCTTCTTTTCTTCAAAAATAATTTCAACTTGTTTTGTTTTGGTTTCCTTTAATTGCAGTTTGTGCTTGACTATCCAAGTGAATACATCATAGAAGTAAAAGGCACCTACGAGAAGGTCATTGGTAGTAAGGCCATGGTGATAAGTATGCTTAAATTCACGACTAATAAGAATCGAACATCTGAGCAGTTTGGCATTGAATCTGGCAAAGCCTTCACACTCGGAGAGAAAGACCACAAAATCGTTGGCTTCCATGGAAGCGCTGAAAAACTCCTCCACAAACTCGGGGTCTATGTCCTTCCCATCACCAAATGATCATGGAGATGAGAAGAATTTATCACACTTTGTGAACTTTGAATAAGTTGATGCTACCTCTCTCTGCTTTCTGTTTGTTTCTTGTGTTCAAGTCTTCTCGTTTGTGTTGTTGTTCTTCTGTATTTTGATGGTCTCTCGACTTTGAATAAGCTGATTCTAGCTACTTTTTCTTGTTTCCTGTTTGTTTCTTTTGTTTCAAGTATTTTCTTTTTGTGTTGTTCTGTGATCCACTTTTAATAATAAAGGAAGTTTATTCCAATAATTTCCCTATTTTCTCAATGGTGCAATATTAAGAATACAAATAGTCAAAAGGTCTTCACTACATGAATAACAAATAATTCCTCGGCTTTGTTTTTATTTCACATTCTTAGTAAACATTTGAATCTATGTCTCTTGTATGCAATTCCTTGAGACTAAGTTTGTGAATTCGTGACAAGGATCCCACACCTTTAAATAGCGGTTTTTAATCCATTCATTATCATCCTCGTTTTCCTATCATCTCTGTATCGAGTAGCTCAGCCTTTTGATCCACCCTTGCTCAGAAAAACCAAACCTTTGTTCCCTTGAATTCTACAAGCCTTGAGACAACTCTGTTCTTGTATCACTTAAATTATATATTTAGCACTCCATAGAAACAAAAAGGTTTAAATCACAACCAAAGAACATCCTTTCTTTAGATAGCCAAGAAGCAAGCCACATTGAATCCACTTTGACTGCATTAGTTAGTTATGGAAGCCACTTTGACTCCAATTTTTAAACAAAGGTGAAAGGTTACCAGCTTGCATTTAGAACCCAACGACTTTTTTCTTGTCTTTCTTCTCATCCCGCAAGAATTCAGTCCCTGACTCGAGCCCATTAGGAATAGACGTTCTCTTGGTTGTTATGCACTTGAGAGAGATGATTACGGGAGAGTCTACTCCAAAACTCTTGTAATATTAGCCGGACACGGCCGTTACATATTCACTAGCTAGGTCCAAGCACAAACTACACATTTTGCCACCATGTTAAATTTAAACACTTTAAGTTTAAGGTAGTAAATAACCGAGGATTAATAATAGATAGACACATAAGGTTACGTGTCGACTTTATTTTTACAAGTATAAAATATTGAACGTGCATGGCTTCGTCGTGGGTAATATAAAAAACAAAGGTAATATGAATATCACACTATCATTTATGAAAAAACGCCCACGTATACGTGTTTAACCATTTTTTTGCGATTTACATATTGTCTCAACGAAGTAGTGGATGGGAAAAGTTCAAAATATATATATTTTTAGGCAAAACGTTTCACGCGTGAATACTTAATTAATCGCTCTCTATTGCAATAATCGACTCAATGTCACACTATCACTAATGAACAATGCTCACGTGTTTAATCGCAAGGCTTTGGGTCCACTGAGGAAAGGTAAAGAAGAGACTGTCCCCCAATAATTGCATACTTGGAGTAGTTTCCAATAAGTTAATATTTGTATCATTCGGTATTTTGATGGAGTAGGTTAGGGTTTAGTCTTTTGCTGGTTGGTTCGTCAAATCATGTGGAATATTTTAGTCCGATGCAACACAAGTTAAATGGACGAGGTTACAAGAGGATATATCAGCTGGGCTACCACCATAAGAGGCACTGAGCTTCAAATTAATTTAGTATCAGCATTGCCAAACAGATTAGCCTATAGAGTCAAACCAGAAGAAAAGAAAGAATTGGAGAGTACTTATAAAGATCAAAAACTCATGTCTAAAAGGTATACCAGAGAGAGAGCTTGAGCCCTAGTGTCCTACAAATTTTATTAGTGCCAAAGAAATATGGCACATGGAAGATGTGTGTAGATTTCCCGTTTCCGAACCATAACAATATCACTTACTTATTTCTCTAGGTTTTTTTTGTCTATTTCTCTAGTTTCTTAAATTATGTATTTAGTACTCCATAAAAACAAAAAGGTTAAAATCACTGTGAAGGAATATCCTTTATTTAATTAGATAGCCAAGAAGCAAGCAACACGTACACACATACATTAAGCTTGAGACAAACCAACAACAATTAATTATAGATCATACAAGCTCCATAAACTCACAAGAAAGTTCTTATTCAAACTCATGGCATATCAAATTCTTTCTGCATTAGGCAGATGTGGGCGCCACTTTGACTCCGATTATGTAAAGAAATCACCAGCTTGTCCATAGAAGCCAACGATTTTGTGGTCTTTCTTCTCCCCCACGAATTCATCAGTTCCTAACTCGAGTCCATACGGGATTAGACGTTCTCTTGTTTCTTATGAACTCTCAAACACTAAACAAAATGTTTACCTCCTCTGTTCCAAGAAGTGTCTTCTTCCCATGTTCAAGTGATACGATCTTGTCGTCTTTCTCGTAATATTACAAAAAAAAAATGATTTGGATTGTTTAAAAAAGAAAAAACGATTTGGGCCAAGATCATTATATCTTATGGGCCTATTAATAAAGCCTTCACTGTTCTCTCTTCTCTCTTCTCTCCCTTTCTCTCTCCTCTATTCAGCACTGACTCGGCCTCTCTCTCTCTTTCTCCTCCTGCCGTCCGCCATCAACGCCGGTACTCATCACACCGATCTAACGTTCCGCAGTCGCTATGTACCGCACGGCAGCTTTACGAGCTAAGGCCCTTAAGGTCAATCTCGTCCTCCACTTTTCTTTCCATCAAACTTTTTGAGTTTTATAGGAAAACGTCGTAGTGAAACAATTTGTATGATTGGATACAGATTAACGCCTATCATAGATTCTCATAGATCTAGATTCAATCTCAATCGTGTTTCCATCATCTATTGACACATTTCATGCTTCTTTCTATGTTAAGTGGATTTCAAAAGTTATTATTTTTCAGTATCAATTACCAATCTCTGGTTAACATTTGAGAAAAATTTGCTGTTTATTGCAATCAATTAGCCAATTGAGAAATCAGTGAGTGCTCCATTTAAGCATTTGTTCTTAATTTCGTTAACGATGCGTATGATTTTGTGCTTTTTATAGGCCTGTTTTAACCGCAGTCTCCGGCCAACACGCTACGCAAGCTCAAGTGCTGTTGCGGCGAGCTCGTCTTCTTCGTCACCGGGTTTCGGTAGCTGGCTAACCGGAGGCTCCTCTAGCTCGCTTCCTTCGTTGGCCATTCCCATGGCTGATGTCTCTCTTCCACCATCACTCGCTGACAATGTCGAGCCTAGCAAACTCAGAACCACTACGCTTGCAAATGGTCTCAAAATAGCCTCTGAGATGTCTCCGGTGAGAGCTTCGTTTAAACAATCTCAATCTCATAATGAAACTATCAAGTGATTTTGAGCAAATTGTGTGTGTTTTTTTTGTTTAGAATCCAGCAGCGTCCATTGGTTTGTACGTTGATTGTGGTTCTATCTACGAGACGCCTAGTTTCCGTGGAGTGACGCATTTGCTTGAAAGGATGGCTTTCAAGAGTACATTGAACAGAAGCCATCTTCGTCTTGTGAGGGAAATAGAGGCTTTTGGAGGTAATACTTCAGCCTCTGCATCCCGAGAGCAGATGGGTTACACTATCGATGCTCTCAAAACCTATGTTCCCGAAATGGCTGAAGTGCTTGTTGATAGTGTGAGGAACCCTGCTTTCTTGGACTGGGAAGTGAACGAAGAGGTAATACTAATCATCTCATATTGCACTAATCTCACAAGAAAATCAATGTAAAGCATTGACATTTCTGTTTCGACTGGCAGCTGAGGAAAGTGAAAGTGGAGATTGGAGAGCTTGCAAAGAATCCAATGGGTTATCTCTTGGAGGCTGTTCACTCCGCTGGTTTCTCTGGCGCTTTGGCTAGTCCGTTGTATGCACCTGAATCTGCAATTACTGGATTGACAGGGGAAGTCTTGGAGCAGTTTGTTTCTGTAAGACTACTGCTTTCTTCTTCTGTGATTTGGTGTTTGGCTTTGGTTAGTCTCATTTGGTGTTTTTGGATATCAGGAGAACTACACTGCTCCACGAATGGTGTTAGCAGCTAGTGGAGTTGAACATGAGGAGCTTTTAAAAGTTGTGGAGCCATTACTTTCTGACCTTCCTAATGTAACCAGACCAGCGGAGCCAAAGTCTGAATATGTTGGTGGAGATTTCCGTCAACAAACTGGTGGAGAGGTACTCATGAAGCCTCTTCAACGAGCCTGTTTGAGTTACAAAAGGGTTTATTATTCATGATTGCTTTTCTTTCTTTTTTCCGGCCATTCTCAGGCGACACATTTTGCGCTTGCTTTTGGAGTACCAGGATGGAATAACGAGAAGGAAGCTGTTATTGCCACTGTTCTTCAGGTGCCTAACTCAAAAGTTACATTTACTCGAGATCTTTCACATGCAACGATTTAATGGTGTAAAATCTGATTTCTTTATTTAGATGCTTATGGGAGGAGGTGGCTCGTTCTCTGCAGGAGGCCCTGGAAAGGGAATGCACTCTTGGCTCTGTAAGTATCTCATTGTGTTTCTTTTTAACTCTCATCTATTGATCTAAGCTCGTTACTCCGTGATGACGTTGCTAAGACGATGGATTCCTTATGTGTGGATGCAGATCTTCGCATTTTGAACAAATGTGAGCTGGCTCAGTCATGCACCGCGTTCACTAGCATCTTTAACAATACCGGATTGTTTGGAATCTACGGTTGCACTGTGAGTTTTCACCAAATTCTAGCTGTTGCTTATCATCTCCCATGGTGGGTTTATTTACATATATATTTTGGGTTGCAGAGTCCTGAGTTTGCTGCAAAGGGAATTGAATTAGTAGCTGATGAAATGAAAGCTGTTGCTGAAGGAAAAGGTTTGTTATATATATTATCTAGTCCTTTCTTTTTATTTGAACCATATCATAATATATAACATCAAAAACATATTTTTGTTATGATTTTGGCAGTTAACCAGAAACATCTTGATCGCGCCAAGGCAGCAACGAAATCTGCGATTCTGATGAATCTGGAATCTCGTGTAGGTCCCTCATAACTTCCACTAATTTTCTTAAATGTCATTTTAGATGTGATGTTCTAATGGAAATGTATGTGATTTGCACAGATGATTGTAGCAGAAGACATAGGTAGACAGATACTTACATACGGAGAGAGGTAACATTCACATTCCCACCTCTAAACCGGTTATTAATAACCGGACTTTTCTATAACCGTGTTCGTATTTGCAGGAAACCAGTTGACCAGTTCTTGAAGACAGTTGACGAACTCACCTTGAAGGACATTGCAGATTTCACCAGTAAGGTTATTGCAAAGCCTTTGACAATGGCATCTTTTGGAGAAGGTAATTAAAGAAAAAAACATCACACTTTATATTTCATCTTTTGCAGATTTGATCATATTTCGCTGATTAATTTATATAGATGTTGTTGATTTTTGTGGCAGTGTTGAGTGTTCCAAGCTATGAAGCCGTAAGCAGCAGATTTTCTTGAAGCTGCTCAAAGCAAAAGATCCTTTTTTGCATCATCAGAAGAAAGAGTTGGAACCTGTAAAATAAAGAAAGGTTTTTTCTTTTTGGAGATCCAACTAATTTTTTTGTTTCATTTCTGATTTCTGACCGAAGATAAGCCCATAAAATGGCGACAAATTACGTCCATGTCTGCAACTTTTTCTTCTTTCTCTCGGTTCGTGAATAATGTGATGTTTACCAACTTTTTACTCTTTTTTATTTCAGCTTCAATTTCTGTTTAAAATTCTTGTTGGAGAATTTTGGGAAAGCTTAGACATAGACATGAAGATAGATTAGTGTACAACACATAATTTATTTTGCAACACTTATATGGTACTAACCTGCAACGGTTTTGTGAGCTACATTTAATGCTTAATATGTTTGACTAATTAAGTTTAAATAATTAAATAAGCTGATCACCGAAATAAATGTTTTATCTAAGTGTTAAATAGTTTGATACAAAAGGAACTAATTTAGCTCGACTATATTTAATGTAGAAGCATATTCGTCTACAGTCTAAAGTCTGTAAAGTGTAAACTATAACTAAGGTATTTAAAAATAGAAAACCTTAATTAAAAGGCTATTAGGGAATCTTTATGGCAGATTACGAGGTAAATAGAGCCTTTTTTTTACTTTGACATGGTAAATAGAGCTTTGAAAAGCCGTTGATATTAATTTTTATTTTATGTTAGGTTTCAGAAGAACGAATATGATGACGCAAACACGTATCGGCCTCCACCAATCATCTCCCCCAGTGGTTTTTAAAAATGATTAGATATGGAAACATACAAAAGATTTTGAAAAAATCATAATAATGATAACGTCATGTCGTACTTGTCTGACGCTACATGGATTCCAAATTTATTGCAAATTTCAACCTCATTTCGTCATCATAGTAGTTAGTTGTTAATAATATCTTCTCGATTACTCACATCTTTGAATTTCAAATTCTCCAAAACCGATGTCTAAATTCACTTAATTTTTTACTGTTGGTGCATGAAAATAGACAATTTAACTGTTGTACATGAAAACTTCAAATACTTTCTTACTTCTCAAATCATCGTTACACAAAATGCATTTCACTTGAAGAGTAGACTAGTAGATGATTCAAAAGAAACAAAACATTTTTTTTCCAAGCCAAAAATTTACAAAAATAGAAAACTAAAAGAAATAATAAAAAAAGGAAGAGAAAAGAAGAAGTCCTCGATGTGAAAAGTCAAAAGCAATGACGCTATTTCATCAAGGACGAGAAAAAACGTTTCTTCCTAATTGTAGAATCTAAAATTGGCCGGTTCTTGAGGAAACTGATGATCATATGAACAAGAAGAACGTTTTTCTTGTTGCTGCAGAAACTGCGGTTGCGGTTGGACCATCCTCACGCCGCTAACGCTACTCCTAGCCGCCATAATCTCATTAAGAGACAACCTTTTCCTATCAGGACGCTGTCGCGGCGCACTATGCGAACGCACTTTAGCCTTAAACGACTGCGTATTAGCCATATAGCTCGGTGTCATCATCATCAAACCAGGATAACTCGGCCTCAAAAAAGCGTCTCTGCAAACGCTTTTCGCCGGCGACGGCGGCGCGTAGTAATGATGGTTATTAGCCGCCGCCGCCGCCGACGAAGAGAATCTCGGCGTGTTCTGAGCCGTGGGATATTTGCACTTGTCTCCCGGAAAACTCCATTCGAAATCTTTCCCTTGATAGATAAAATCATCTCCACATTCCGATACAGCGACATTCATCCTCCTCGATCTTGATTTCGTCTTGCAAGTGTCAATCTCAACGATCTTGGGACTGGTCTCATCGTACGCATTGTTGTTGTGGTTGCTCTGTTTCTCCACAGAGATTGACATTCTCTTGCTATGTACTTCGCTTCTCGAATCATCAAACCTTTCCTATTATCATCAACCAATCAATCCACAAAAACACATAAGTTTGAGATTTAACTTAGAATTGATAGACATTAATAAATAAATAAATGATTTTTTCTTTCTTACAAGAGAATTTCGAGGAAGAAACATGTTGTTGCGGTTAATGCGTTGAGATCGAACGCTGGTTTGTGCTCTGATGAGAGCTTGCATGCTATGAAGCGTTTCGGCGGCGCGTTTGCGGACCAAGTAGCCTCTCACTAGAGCTTGTAGCTTCACTAGACCTTTCAAAGCTCGTAACGCTTTCCTCGCCTATAACAAAAAAAAAAAAATTCAAAAATTTAAATATTATTAAAAAAACCACGTTTAAGCAGAAACAAGAATCCAAATTTTCTTGAAATTGGAAAAGACGTGTACTGTTTCATTAAGGGGAGATATGTGTAAGGAGCAAGCAATATACAGACATGCTTTTGTTTTTTGAAATCCGAATCTTAAAACGTATAAACAAACCCACATGGCAAAAAATTCGATCTTTCGTGTCGAAATCGAACGAGAAGAAAACAGAGTTTTGAGAATTTACCAAATAGCCCTTGAAGACTGTTTGGATTTTCACCGCGGCCCACCGCTCCGTTGTGGTCCCGCCGGAATATCCTCCGCCTCTTCCGTTGCTTGTTAGCCTGACAACAGCCACGGCAGCCTGCGCGGCTGCAACAGCTGCGTCTGCGGCGGCGGCTGTGGCGGCAGCAACCGCAATCGCGTGTTTGTTCTGTTCTTTGTCTGTTTCCGCCAGGTAAGTTCTGAGCCAGACGGAGTCCGCTTGGAGAACTTTCCGGTGAATGTTGGACTCGCCGGCTTCTCCGTCGCCGGAAACACGGTTCTCTTTCTCTTTGCTCTTTTTCATACCGAAAATGCCCTTGAACCATCTCGCTGCTCTTCCCATTTTTCCCTTTCGAGTTCGAAATTTGAAGAACGGTCAAAGATGTTATTTTGACGATTTAAAAGAGAGAAGAGAATGAGAGGTGACAAATCACAAATACCCAGAAGAAGAACTTTTTCGTATGCAAGAAATGGAGAGGAAAACAAATTTGATGGCACTGAAACTGAAGACACAATGTGATGTTTTAGTGAAAGGAGAAGGAACTGTAAAGAGAGAGAGAAATAGAGGCAATGGATAGATTCTTGAAAAACAAAATAACAGGTTCATATTTATATATATATATATATACAAGTATTATTTGAATTTAAACTCGAGCAAAGGACAAAGAGCTTGATTATAAAAACTATTTATGTACATTTGTTATGGAGAATTTTTGTTTTAAATGCACCGTTTGGTAAAGGACTAGCTAACCTTTTGATTATACCTAACCTTTTGATTATACGATATAGCTTCAGATATAAGGTAACTTATTCGATTCAAAAACATTAACATATATTAAAACCTAAGCGTAAAATTGAAGATAAACTTACTTTTGTCAGCAAGTAAAACTTTAAGGTTTTAGAAGATTGTTATAAAATTTACCAGTTGCTCTAGAAAAAGTACAATGAACAAAAGAGAAAAATAGTTTATAATTTTTTTTTTTTTTTTGAGGAAAAAATAGTTTATAATTGCAAGACAAAAGAGTTACTACATTTGAAAATCCCTTGAATTCAACTGCAATGAACTGACAACAGTTGTAATCATCCTTTTTGAAACACGAAAAGTAGAAATCATTACTCAGAAATTTTGAACGAATTATTTATATAAGAAAACAAAAAAGATATAAACCTTAAGCGAAAAATAATACGGATTTACAGAATATTTTTACACAGTGTCTAGATTTTAGGGCAGTGAGTAATTATTGTTTTGAAAAGGATAGGAAGAAAGAAATAAGATAGGTAAATAAATTTTAAAAAGATCTGACACAACCTCGTGAAGAACTGAATTACAAGACAAAATGATGTCATGGAGAGACAAAAGATGGAGCGCCCCTAATTTTTTTTATTAATCGAGTTATTTCTATAAAATACTATACAGAAAGAGAAAGAAATTTAGAAAATCAAACACAACGGAACACGGATCTGCAGACAAACAATGACGACGAACAGAGTAAACTATACTTTTAAATTTAATTTACAAATTAAATCTAAAAACAAACGCACCTTCAAAGATTCAAAAGTGGTGTGTCTCTGCCTTCAAAGATTTTGCTATTGAGTAATAAGAAAATGTCTTTATGGAGCATTGTGTTCTTACTCGATTTTAGAGATACCCCTTCTCGTTATTCCCGTTATTTTAATTAATTTAATTATCCCATTTCCCTTCCTCAACCCATAATCCCACTTATTTAAAAGAGCTGACATAATAGACCCTTTTCTTAAGGTATGTATAGTCGCTAATCAATCCGTTTTGATTTGGTATGAAGCGTGCAATTACGCTAATGACATCGATTATGGAATTATCTTGACTTGTTTATAATTCAAGTTTGGTTTAGAAATGGAATGAGTCCATGATTTGTGGTTCGAAAAATCTGTTAATAATATTTGGTCGTGGTTGAAGATCGTTGACCAAGCTATTTCCATCATTATGACTTAGGTTTATGCTCATGTCGAAGTGTGGCTTATGAGAAACAAATGTGAATCTGGAAACTATACTAAAAAGTTTAAACTTTACGACTTAATGATGAGTTTCTGTTACCAATCAAAGAAGGTTGTAGTATTTGGTTCGTCTACCTCGAGAAATGAGTTTAACTTTGTGAAACAATGTACCTTTTAACGCTCTTCTTTGTACTTTTTTGGGTGTGTGTTATTTGGTTTTGGGTACAAAGTCATACTAATTTTAGATTCTAGAGTCGTTATGGGGAAATTCACGGTAGGAACATATGTACATCCAGCATAAAATGATCAACATATATATGTACATAGTCTAATTTTAGATTCTAGACTAGATCACTAATTTATATGGTCAAAATGGAAATACAATTTATAAATCATATTTAAAGTCCTCGTGAAACAATTTATGTGTCCCATAGTATTGATCCTCATAAACCACCTTGCTTATTATGAAATATGCACCATTATATTATTCAATTAGCACATTCCTTCCTAGCTAGTGCAAACTGTGCAATCTTCTTTCTACATTCAAATGAAATTAAAAAGTGTTAAAGCATTGTTCAGAACAACCATTCTAGGAGAGATATTGTGAACCTCAATGTTTAAGCCATTGGGTCGTCCAACAACAGCCCAACAAAATTTAGTCTAGAAGCATTTTAGACTAAATCTGATTACAGACGACAAGATGTTTTAGTACGTTCAGTCGTTTACCATTAGTTTCACAATTCACAGTGTAGTCTCTCTTTTCTTTGCCCATTTTATTCGTTTACCATTACTATCACTGTATCACACATCACATATCTCTTTTTCTGTTTCTACGACTAATATATCATGCAGTAAAAAGTATAAAGGGTAAGTTTCTAACCTAGTTATATTCACTTGATCATGTCGCTTAGTTATTTTGCAAACCGATTTTTACGAGAATGCTTCAACAATAGCCTTAAACAGAAGCACACACTATCATCCATCTTATCATCTCACTCGTGTTATTGAAAAGTCTATTCGAAACTGGATAGCCACTTTCTGCCACAACAATTATCACAAATGAGGAAACTTCCTTCGTACGTGGTTCAGCTATCTAGAATCCATCCTTTTTATCAGCTGTTACCAATTTTTTTTTACTAATTTATAAATTTAACATTTGAAAAAGAAACACACACATTCTAAATCGAACATGATAGCCGATTTTTCAATCCAAACAAACGTAATATTAAACAACTAAACAATGGCGATGTCTAAAACTGCATAACAATATGGGTGGAATTAGATTTTAGATGATCAATGTTACAACAGTTGATATAGAGAAAGAATATTGTATACATTTAAGAACAGAACCGAAGTGAAATTCAAGCTCCACATATATGTTAATTAGTACATACATTACAAGAAAATATCCAGATCACCATCCTATTAACGTTAAATTATATGAAAAACTAATTCTTTCTTTGTTCATATAATATTTTTTTACCTTTTTCAATTATCTTCTTCTGCCTGACTTAACCCTGTGTGCCATAGGACCCCTTTTATGACATTGGCACTCTTTAAAGTTATCTTCTTCAGGCCATCTCTCAAAAACCACCTCTGCTCCTTCTGCTGCTTCTTCTTCCTCACCAAATCTAATAGAGCTTTGTCTATTGCTTCGTTTTCAAGAAGTGGATACACCAATAAGAAGACATAAATTTCCTTGTTGTTCTCCTAGATTTACAATACTACCCTTCTCAAACCATAGTTATATTATACATAGAAAGAATGAGCATTTAGCAAACTTATGAATCAAATTTTAATCGATGAAGCGAACAAGTCATTCAGCTATTATATGTCAAAATGAGGTTTCTAGAAGCACTTGATTACTTGGAGACCATTTACTCACAGATTTTTTTTCATATAACTCAATGATTATACATTACAATATGAGCACATAAGTAATTCGATAGGTCCATCACAACTTGAAAATAATTATGTTTTTCTCTCTTTCTCCTTATACTATATTCAATCTATACGTACGTACACATTAGGCTAATTAGGCCAGTATCGATCCCTTCTTTTAATATATTTAGAAGAAGATATCTATTCGATTTGTTTTTTTTTTTTGGCTCGTGAGTGTCGAGAAGAACACTCCTCATTGTCTTATTGCTTAGAGCAATCATAGTCGTGCGTTTTCACACATTTTAATAAAAATTTCTATTCCAATGGAACAAAATAAAGATTGTTCAAATAGTAAAATCAAGACCTACTGTATAAACTTACTTTGTGTTTGAAAGACTGATCTCCGTATCTGTGTTCTTCTGTTTTGTCTTTTTGCTGTTGTATTATCCAAAGAAAAACAAAACATATCACCCTACTCATACAACAATCGTGCCTTATACAAAGTTTACAAAAATGATATTGATTCTCCATTTTATTAAAATTCTAGGTTTTCCAATATGTATTGTTTATTATACAAAGAAATCGTCGTCCATTGGGAGGTTCTTTTTCCACAACTTGCAACGTTCCCTTTTTCTTATACACGTTTAAAAACAAAAATTGACATTATAGTACAAAAGGTCATCATGTGCGAGAACTAAGTGGGATAGACATTAGAGAAGGATTCAACCTAAAATTTCATTATTCTCTAGAAACGAATAATATGCATATTCAACAGTTATGGGCGCCTCCTCCACTTGATGAAGTCTTAATATTGGGGAATCTTGTCTCCTAGTCAAAACCCATAATCACACTGTCTTTGAGTTCTCTTTCTATATTTCATTTTATTTTAACTAGTGTATGTATAATTGAAAAATGTTTTCGAAACACGTATGGAGAAGATTGTAAAGGTATGTATGATGAACCAACGACGAATTTAATATATCAGTCCACCTAATTCGACTGTACACTATCATTACTACTTAATCGGGATAAATGATGCGTATTTGAACGTTTGTTGCGCCTAGAGGCTAGAATTCGAGAGCTGGTCTAGGAATAACCAACCTTCTTATCAGTATATGTTTATATTTTCTTATCATATTGTAAAACGTAATCATGACTCTAGTGTTACAAATGAAATATGTATAAGAATCTTTTACTGCTTTTCTTAGTGTGGGCCAAATCTTCGTACTGTTTTACAAGATATATTCGTTAGTGATCTCTATGTCTAAAGATTATGTCGGAGAAATAATTTCCATTGTATACAGCGTTTATAGGTGTTACCAATAGGTGAGGCATCAGAATTCATAATATATTTAAAAAAAATTGTTTAGTTGCTATCAAATTATTAGTGGTTCAAGTCTCCCCTTAGTGAATTCAAATTTTGACTAAAAGAATTATTGAAAAGTACTATTCATTGCATTATAGGTTCGATTAACTCAACTTTTGAAA